ATTCAACCAGAGCTTGGATGGTGTAACGCTGCCCAGCGGCTTGCAGAGCTTGACCTTGGCTTATTATGACAACCAGAGCTTTGATGGTTTAGTGCTACCCAGCGGCCTGCGGAATTTGTCACTGTTGAATCGGTCACACACTGAGGAACGCAACTGCAAAAGTTTCCGTCTTGCCGAGGGATTGGACTGTCTCGCGATGCCAAGTAGCCTCCGATACATCCGGAGCAATGACTTTGAGATCCGTGTTCACTCGGGCCTTTGAAGGCACCAAGACGGCGCGATCATTCGATTCTATAAATGGTACACCAGCGCAGAAGGCGAAGCAGCGCAGAATTGGCTGCCTCCGGCGGGGTCGTGTCCTATTTTTCGTCCTTCGCGGTCCAAATGCCACGGATCTTGAACGACGACCCCCGACCGAACGCACGGATCTTTTGGGTGAGAAGCTCCCCCATTGAACGGTCGACCCACAGGAAGAGCTTAGAGATGTAAAAAGCAAAATCCGTGTACATATACCAGGACCCGACTCTACAGGTCACCAGGCCTTGAGACCTGTCAAGGCCCAACCTTCAAGTACCGACCTGTTGGAGGGTGCTGGTATATCGTTTAATTCTACTCCCTGAAATCATCATGGTGACGAGACGTGAAAGATGATCCCTGGAGTATGACCGTTTCCAGTACCGTTGCCCTCTACCACCTGACACAGCTTCGATGACTGTCAAAGACGCGTGACTCCCCGTCCGGCCCCCTGGTGCCGTTCTGACCGACCTGGGAGTTGACCTGGTCACTGAAAAAGACCTGTCTGGGACTGGTGAATTGACCGCTGAAGGGGGGTCATAGATTGTTTTTGTTTTCTTCTGGCGCATCAGTGATTCCAGTCCCAGGCCCAGTCGTGTTCTGGATTTCTTTGGACCAATCTTCCGAGCAATTTGCTCGGATTGAGGTGCTGGTCTAAAGCCTCGCACCTTAGTGAAGCACGAGTTCCACTTCGCGCAGGGCGGTGCGGAGGCTTAGACGTCCAAGCAGATGAAGAAGATGTGAAGAGATCATGCAGACTCAGTCGAACTTGTTCTGTGATTTTCTGTGCCTATATAGAGGAGGTATATCCCTACACAGTTATGCAGGAAAAGAAAGCCATTGTTTAGTGGGTCCAGGTCTTTAACTAACCATCATCATCCACTGTTGTAAGGAACTGGGATACTGTATATACGTATGCCGCCCATGCCGATGTTCTTCCATCTCTCACTCATTCTCGCTCTTGGCTTCCTAGCCTTGGATTGCTGGAGTGCAGCACGCCAAATGCTCTTCTGTTCGTGCGACATCATCGAGAAACTCCCTTGACATGCTGGATCTGATCATCGCCAAGTACGGGGGAAAACATGGGGAAACGATCTCCAAACACCTTCAGTGTCATCCTCAGTGTGTCCTCAATTCACTTGAGGGTGACCTATCCAAACAACGCTGGGATGAACACCCGGAGCACGCAACACGGCCCTTTAGCAGCTTAGCAGCACAGTCTGATGGAGAGAACACTTGGACGTTTCTCACTCGGCCAGCTCAGCCCCGGCTGAGCTTCACCGATTCCAATCTCATCAGCTTCACGGATGTGTTTGGACCGCACGCCCTGGTGTCGACCGCATCCTGGTGTTCCCCGCGGGGGGTGGACCGGTGCGCGTCGAGTCGCATGAGGCCATGGAATGCAATTCCAGAACCTCATCGTGACTGGTGTCAAAGGACGTCGTGTCGACTCGCCGTTTGTGCGGTGAACGGTGAACGGTGAACGCGAAGGTCCCCACGGAGACATGAACGGGGGCGCAGGATGTGTTTTGGGTGCGCAGGTGGCACCAGTGCATGTTTTCATTGGTTGGGTTCCTGTAGGGCCTGTATGGGCCTGTAGGGTTTGGAATATCATCATAGCGGAATCCTTGTCACGTGCCGGTATACAGAGGCCTTCAGGGTCCGTTCTTTAGATATGACACCAAACCGCTTAAGACATCAATTTGTGGGGTCATAAAGGGCTAGGTAGGGACACACACATGGACACACAAACTTATGAATGGGTGTGTTCAAGCACAATTTTGTAATTTTAGATGACTCGTTTGAGTACTTTAAAGTTAAAGGTATCAACACTCAAACTAAATGCTTGATGTGCATGCTAACCTTTTGAGACCTAAACCGAGTTTACATTTTTTTTTTGACAGTCAAGATGATGAAACAACAGTTTCATTGATGGGCAAACACTCCCCTCAAAATGATCAAGAATGTATAAAGAAGAAATTGTCGGACGTCATGGGACAAAAAAAACAATATGACAAAGATATCAAGGACGCTTCAAGGCAGGACTTTTCCCTCAAATATGTTTATTGGATATCGGATGCAACATCTATTGACAAGGGTGCCAGACTGGCATCAACAACTTTCTGGACACTCACACAGCAGAACTCAACATCAATCTTTGGCGTAGGGACCCCGATGCGATGATAGTGACAAATGCAGACTCCTGATCTGAAAGAATTCTAGAACATGTCCTGAACCCTCCCCCCAAAAAAGACACACCTCCATCTTCAAGATCTGCTTATGTTAAAAGAAGCAACAGGGTTACAATAGCGGCGCGGCATCATGTATATAATGGCATGCTCTTCAGTACTTGTTCTTTTTCAAATTGGTCTTGTTCTTGATATGTGCATGATTGATTTTGTTGTTTTGTTCTTTGAGCCTGGATGAACACCAAAGCCAACAAATTGAAAAAGAAGCTTCCTGCCTTGATGTGCGCTTGTTTGGCCCATGTTTCATAATATTCTTCCATGACTGTTTCAGGACTCCGTTTCCGTCACGGTCGTTTTGTTTGAAGGAATCAATTGACTTCCATGCGCCATACTAGTAACTATAGTTTTACTTTTCTTTGTTTTACTTGACTGTGTTCACTGGAAACATGTCCGACCTCTTGCAATCCATGTATTATATTGACCATTTGTTTGACTCAAATGAGTGTGCCAACGTGTCTCTTCTTGGTAGCAACGGGATAATTCAGTATGATTGATATATTTATGTTATGTGACGTGGGTACTTGCAGAATGTTCTTCATCAATGGATCATGGATCATGGTTGCCGTCACCTACTCATCCGATGAAATTCTCGTACGAAGGCGCTGCTGGTTGGGTTTGTCTATCGGTCCAGTCATGGGTCCCAAGCCCCAAGGCACATCGAGCAATCCAGTTTTCTCAATCTTTAGAAACAATGGCTCTCTCCTACCGATGCAGGATGTTTTTGGCTGCAAAACCTTGAGACATGTAGGGCCTCACCCCACTCCAACAAAAACTGCCGGAAGCTGTGGGTTTACCTTCCTTTTTTTGTCCCGTTTCGACCCGTTTCGCAGCTTCCGGGGCTCGAACACTCAGCCAAACCTGCGTCCGTCCTTCCGGTTCGGGACGCTCGAGGACAAGCCAAGAGCTTGGGAGTTGGACCGCCCAGAGGGCCAAAAGAAGCGGGACCGGACACGGCGGGACACGGCGGGACACCGGGAGACGGATGAAGAGGGTGGGGATGTGGGCCTGGAAGGGCAACGCTGCGGAGCGATCGGACGCTACGGTCATGGGGGCGTTGGAAGGGATATGAATGTCATGCTTGGCGATCCTCCCACGCGTGACGAATTCGGTAGGAATGCGGTACATCCCAGGAGTCTCTTCGGATGAATTACCTTCAAACTAAATGTATATATAGCTTACAGCTTACAGTATTTCATCTCACTGATGTTGGTTGTAAGGATGCTTTGAGACTCCCAGGGTGACATTGTTGCTGAACATCGGCTGCAATGGTGGTAGCGCCTGCGCTGTTTGGATTTCAGGTGTAAATACCCTCCCTACACAATCCACGGAAGTTCTTTTGTTGTTGGTTGATCTTAGGGCAAACCAAGAAACTTTGTGTTGCGAATGTTCTTTCACATGTTTCTCGCTATCTTGAAACAGAAGTGCTACATAATGTTCCTCAACACCATGGCGTAGTTGGGAGTTTGGGGTGTTGATTTCTTGTTTCGCTCAGTTTCCATGCATGTCGAGTCCATGAAATACGGAGATGCAAACCATACCGGCACCTCCAAGGTTCAGATTGGTTGGCGCATCTATATGATTGATGGCATCTTGATGGACAGCGGCACTCAGGCGACCCGACACTGCGGGTGCGTCTTCTTTCCTCGCCGGAAGAATTACCTATCAAATCCTATATATATGGATTGTTAAAGCATGTTAAACAACAACTTAAAACCTATAACATGGGAATACATTGACTCATCAAGACATCTCAAAGCCACCATGTGTTTGGGCACATGACTGGTTGGTTGGGTGGGTTTGGCCGGAACGAGTAGTTGTCGAAAGTCGAAGGTAGCGCCTTTGGGATTGGTCATGATTGGTCGCATTGTGTCCAGGTTCTTCTGCAACTGACGAGCTGACCTTCAAAGTCACGGAACTTGAGATTGCAGGATGACATCACTTGGGCCTAGAGAAGTACTAGTACTTGTCTCTGCAAATGGTTTTCGGACGAATCACTCCGGGGGCGCCGCGAAAGGCTTGATACCCAACCAGGTCACTGACTCACTGGTCTGTAAAAGGTCCCAACCAGGTCACATGGTAGGTCTTGATACATGTGAGCCATGGCCAGTTACATTACAAACCCAGTGCCCATGTACTCAGGGTGCAATTGCCCAGGGCTGCCCTATCCCCCTTCCATGACAGGCACCCATGTACCTGGTACCTGGTCAGCATCACCGGAGATCTATCCCTGGATGAGAATCAGTGCAACGCGCCATGATTCAACGATCTGCCCCACGGGGCCTGATCAATTTCAGCAAATGAGACTTAAACCACTTTTGCAAAGAGCTTGCTTCTTGAACTTGGATCACCACCAGAGAAGCGGGAGTTGATGTGCTCAACCATGCTCGACCTTTTTGTGGAGGCATGGCAGAAGCTCCAGGACGCTCAATGGCAGTGGAGGAGAGGCGCAGTCGAACGTGGGCGACTCCTCCTCCACGTCGGCGACTCGCTCCGTCCAAACCGGTCCCATGGACCCATTGGCCTATCCCATACCCAGACACGACCTGTTTGGGACTGCCATGGGACTGCCGAGAAACGGCTAGGGGTGGTGGTTTTGCGGGGGTCTGTCTGGGGCGGCAGTCCGTCCTGGCAGTCCCAGACACGTCGTGTGTGGGAGAGGTACCACGATAGGGTCCCAGTTCTCGTGTGTCTACCTCAGAGAGCATGTTTGGTTGAGTGGGGATTTGCAAATCTGCGCTGCAATGGTCATGTTCATCTTAAAAAGGCTTTGATGGGTCTTCCCTCCAAAGCTCACCGGCCTCCAAAGCATGTTTGAAAAGCCAAAAAACAAAAAATTGCCAAGAGCCATGAAGCTTCCTTCATAGCAAATCGTTCCACAAGGAGTTGAATTCAGGCTTTTCCAGGAAGCCTTCAGGGGTTCTTCGTCACACATGTCTAGCCACAATAGATGTTCAACCTGTTGGAGTAGACCTTGGAGGGTGCTGGTTCAGAGCTCAAGACCTTGGCTTTCCTACTCATACTCAAACAGTTTTCTGTCCTTCGCTTTTTCTGGTCCTTGCGGCACTACATCCGCAACCAATCTTCGACTTATCAAGGTGCGGCAGACGGAATCAGCTGGGGGTTGGAGGTCTTCGACTTATCAAGGGGGCGGACGGTGTCTTTGGGGTGAATGTTTATTACTTGTGATGTGGCTCCATGTGTTCCATGGCTCGTAGGTGTTGTTTTCGTCTTCGCTGTGCAATAACCGAACTCTCTGAAAGCGGTATATAGATCGGGTTCGATTCGTGTGTTGGTCCTCTTGGTTCGATTCGTGCGCAGCTCTTCCCATGGGGTCGAAGCATGGAACACTGAGGAGAACGTACTTGCAACTAGTTCTGGACCCGACTCTGTTCGTACCCTCCAAAATGGGGCAGCGGGCATGACCCTATTTAGAACATGTACTTTGGAGACTCCAGGTAGTTCTGGTAACATGCAGAAACCAGAAACATACCACAGAGATCCCTAGAAATCCCAGAGGACAAACATGCGTCGCTCTTGTCACGACGAACATTCGTGGCACTCAGCCCGCCCCCAGAAATCAAGCTTCGTTCGGGTCAAGAAGAGAACGATCCATCTTTCAAGGGCGTCCTTAGTGGCGTCCTTTTCAGATGTTGTTTCTATAGGGTCAAGGGCGTCCTTTTCACCGGAGTGGATTGAGATGGAATTGATTTGCTTTGTTACATCTCATGGTACCCAGGGAAGGTTGTTTGCCTCACCACATCATAAGACCATCGAGCACCACTTGGAATCAAACACCATATTCACTGCAACATTGTCAAATATGGACAACATGGGGACCCCCCCCTTTCGGAGAGCATGATGCTGATGATGAACTCCCAGAAGGATGCAACACACAAGCACATGGATGCCATGTACAAAATCAACTGCACCTGGCATGAGGATGCACTTGTTATGTTTTGTTTCATGCTTTCACTGTTCGCCATGGTTTTAGCCTCATCTCCGGAGATGACCTTCCACCCTGACAAGACCGTCCTCCCGCGCCGTGACCGCGTCAGGACGGTCTCGGTGGTCTTCTTCACCGACTACAGGCGTGGTGCCGGGCGGCGTGGTACGGGATGCGACCAGTGCAGGATGCGGCTGCGGGCATCGAGCGATCGAAACTGGCAGTAAAGATGGGAGTCCATCTGAACCAAAATCCAGTCTTGTATCGACACCAGAGAAGGACAATTCAAAAAGACCGCTCAGGCAGACCTACTTCGCCAGCTTTTTGTGGTGCTACCGCATGGCTTCGCTTCGCTTCGGTGTTTCCGTCAAGTTCGGCGGGGCCAGGGCGATCCGGATGGAGGAGAAGATTAAGGAAGAAGAGGAAGAGCGGCGCGAGGCGCTGCGTTCGCTTCGCTTCGCTTCGCCTACCAAGGCTTCGCTAGATGCCTCCACAGTAGTTGTGGGCGTAGACAAAAGTGTCCTTGTGACAGTATGTTACAGAAGGAGTTGTTTTGTTCCGCCAGTTGCATTTTTGGTTTCGTAGGATATAGTAATTAGATGTAATTGGGTGAGTTCTTCCTGCAGATGTTTGTAACCAGTAAACCTGCTAGATGTACGGTTGATCCATTTGTGGTCAAAGAGCCCATAGAACAAGGGTCCTGTACTGCATTCAGGCAAGTTCAGGGTTCAGGGTAATGAATTTGTTCAGGGTCCTCAAGGTTTCCACAGTTCACTTGGCCATAGGACATCAACATTCGTCAATTCTTCCAGACACAGTTCACTTGTGCATGGCAAACTGCAGAAACCAAACCGTGGACCCTGACCATTCTGGCAAAAAAGAAGAACCATGATGACCTGGCTGGAGATGGTGACGCAGATCCCTCCCGGAATGATCCCGTCGCTGTTGAGAGCATCCGTTGGGGCCAGTGTTTTGGGTGACTCTTGACCTGACTCTATACCGGTTCGCCTTCAAAGACCTTATTAAACATGATACCGACATGGAACATCATGGAACATCCTTTGGTAAAACAAAGGTTCTTGTGGGATTCTGCCTATTAAATTGAATTGTGCTTGGAATCTCATGGTATATCTGTTTGGGATGGCGGTTGGGCCATGTTTGTCCACTATGATTCGATGATCACCGTGGCATTGACCAAGTATCGGGAGACTCCAAGTACTTTCAAGGTATTGGGCCTCCAAACCCAACCCAGACACCTTTTAGGCAACTGCCAACTGAGTGGTTTTACTTGACGTTTCCATTTCTCTGCTCACCTCAAAGTTTCCACACACACACACCCACAAACACAGTCCTGTTCGCCGTCGACGAAACACGGCACTTCTCCATGTTTTGCTTGGAAACCATCGAAGACGACGCTCCTTTTCGCTCCGACTCGGTCGGCGTTCTGTTCGAATGCGCCAGGTCGAGCGGTTGGCCAAGTTGCCCTTCACGAGCACCAATGATGAGAAGCACCTGGAACAGCTCAAACAGGCGCAGCTCAAACAGCTCAATCGACCGCAGCGAACCGCTGAGAGCTGCGGTCGTGGCCGCCGTGAGTCCTTGTTCTTCGCGGTGTATTCAGCACCAACGTGGGTGAACATAATATGATAATATGTTATATGTTGTTGTTAATATAACTATAGTCAGTAGTAGTATTATTATTACTTGAGTATGCCATGTACGATGACCCGGGATGAGGATCCTGCCGAAAAGTTGTTGCTGTTATCTTTTTTTGTTTTTGTTTTGCAACATGTTGTAGCATTGCGGAGTGTGAATACGTGACAGTAGGATACCGATTCCATTTAATTAACCTAGACCTTCAAAATCCCAAAATATTTTGGTCCATGTGGTTTGTACTACTTTATTGTGACGATCAGTTGAAAAGTGGTCGAGCACATACGATTCAAACAAAGAGTGGTCGTGCATGGTCACACACTGCCCTCCCCGTGGCCTCTGGATGACTGATGGATGATGATGATGATGACGATGATGATTGGTCGGTTTCACGGGAGTTCAAAGGTATGATCTCTTATGCTTGCACAAAACTTGTGGCGAAATCAAGTGCAGCTGGGTTGGCCATCGCTTGAGCAGTCGATATACCCCTCTAAGAAAGAGCGGCTTTCACTAATCCCTGGTCGATCAGACATTGGCCTAGAGCTCCAAGAATTACGAGCAGGCTCGAGCGCAGCAAAACTACAAGATACGGTAATGACATACGAGTATGCAAAAGGAACCATAATTGCATTGTTGCTAACAAATGAACTCATGTCGACATCATGCTCGTAGGAAAACATGACTAGGCACTCATTTTCTCCCGAACAGCTTATGACCAAAGATTGTCCAGGTGGAGCAGGCAATCCTACTCATGACATTCAGCCCAAAAGAGTTGCAATTCAACGAACTTAGAGGTTTCTCAAAAACCATCAAAAAACCATTTGACCTACTTTCTGGGATTTGTGGGTGTTTGCAGGTTTTTGGCGTTTTGAGGGTTTTTGTGGGCGTTTTGCGGGTAAAACTGGTCGTGGGTTTTCATCAAATTCTGTCTCCGAAACCTCGGAATAACATTAAGTGCTTTCCACTCCATGTAGGTCTTCAGAGGTCACAACCTGGGCATGAACAGACAAATGTTTTTATCAATTTCTCCTTTGTCGTGGTGACATCAATGTATTTATATATATCGAATCATCTCTGCCATTGGCCAAGGATGAACTTATTGCAACCCTGTAGCCGGTTTTTTGATTTATTTGTGCATATCCTGCATCGCATCTTGCAATTCCACCGGAATTCGAAGTCGTTCATTATATAATGATAAAGGTAAATGAAGACACTCGGCAGCTGGGCATTTTTCCAGTTATCGTCATCGTCATCAAGAAGGCCGCAAAAATAAACTTGAAGGTCGGTCTTTGCCGGGTCGATGATGACTGGCGTCTTCCACTGCGTCCCATGGGATGGCTGATGGATGGATGGGTTGATAAATACGGAAGTCATCCCCTAAAGTGTGATAGCCGGTGATGGCTACTCGGATCAAAATCTGTGGAGCATACCCAAATCACACCGCTAAGCAAAAATCAGTCGTTTCTGACAACTACCATTTTTTTCCATCGAAGCATCAGAAACTAATACAACAACCCAATCGTACTAGAATATTTTAGCCGTTGGAAGGTCTAGGAATGTCCTTCCCTGCAGGGTTCAACTCGACAGTCAGTCAGCTTTCACCTCCTAGAGCTGGAAGTCACCAATCAGAATCACAGTCCTCTCAACAATCCCCTCTTAAAGTGTGTGTTAAAGAACAATCACAGACTCTTGATGACATAGTATATAGTTGATGACATATATATATATATATGTCATTTCAACCCCATCTTGTATGTTTATAAAGGTGGCCTCACTCCATGTATTATGTCGACCGGAACCTCCACCCCACGTCTTTCGTCGCTGGAGTCTGGAGTCTCCACCGAGACGAAGACGCGATACCCGAGACGACCCCGACGACACCCAGGAGTTTATCTTCCAAGGCTACATCGAGCGGGTCGAGGAGCCTTTCCGTGGTGCTTGCGTCGTTTGCGTCGTGCTCTCGTGCTCGTTCCGGAATGAACCTCCGGGCGGAGCGGAGCCGGGGTTCGGTGTGAAGCCGGGGTGGCCAAGCGCTGAATGCGTTCTTTGTCTTGGACGGCGGTGATGTTTGAAAGCATTCTGATCTTGAGGTTTCATCCGTTTCAGTATGGCTCTTTTGAGATGTTTTGGGGGGGGGTGCGTGACAGGGCTGTGAATGTTGATGGGTCATGATGGGTCATGACTAGGGAAGATGATCATGGAGAGTCGTTCCAATGTATGTTTGTGACTCTGTGACTTCTTGTCGTAAGCACTTTGAAGAAGCAAGTGGGGACACTGATCTTCAGAGTCGTCTAAACCTATCAGAGCATCTAGTGAGTCGTCTTGCCAAGGTGTGTGCAAGTACTTGACACTTGTTGAGACAAATCTACATATACCAGCCATATATAGATCCATATGGTTGGTTGGTTGGTTAGTTTGTTGGTTGGTTGGTTGGTTGGTTGGTTGGATTCAATAATGGTGATTGATAGGGAGGGAATGTGTTGAGTTTGATTCCTCAGGGGTCATATTTTATGGGATGCGGCACACATGACATGTTACGCAATGCGCAGCAAACAACAGCTTTGATTTGCACATGCTCCTCTTTTCCGGATTCTGGATCCTGTAGCACTTGTGGGTTGATGTCTCAGATGAACTGAATGAAGAGTTCATGTCCCCAACGTTCCATTCAATCCAGTTCCATTTGTTCAACTCTGCCAGGTTTTAGAGCTGGTGCCGGCTCTAAAGCCGCTGCCGACCATTTCGGTCGCCAAAACGCCACGCCACGGACGAAGCGGTTTCAAGCGGAGAACCCAAGTAGAGAGTCGAAGAACCACCTTTTTCCCCAAACAGATTTACTGTTATAGGGGTTCTCAATTCTTTCTTAAGATGTTGTCCCACCTGTTTGGGGTCTACGGTGGTGTAATTTTAAGAGTGGCGTGTCAGCCTGGTGTTGGGTGAGGGTAAAATAATTTTTTTTGTGATCCTGAAGAGAGCGAGTGTGCAAGCGAGATAGTGAGCGGCAAAAACATAGCAATCAGAATTGTGAGAGATGTAGTGATTTACCATAAAAACTTACAATAAATTAGTGAGTTGTCAAGTTACAAATAGCAAAAAAAAAGTGAGCGGGTGCCAAACAAAAAGCAAGAAAATAGTGATTTGTTGCGGAAGAAATAGCAAGAAAAAAGAGAGCAATTAGTGAGTTGTTGGACAACAAATAGCGAGAAAAATAGTGAGCGGAAAAATACACATGTGAAAAAATGTGAGCGGAATAGGGAGCGTAGGGACACGGACAAAAACCAGAAACAAATATGTCAGCTGCACATCGTGAATATCCAGCAAACAGTGCCAAACATTCAGAAAGGAAGGGCCGTGTTTCACTATGCTTTCCAGGTTGCCATTTGCCGTCGCGGTCTTTGACTATTTTTCAGAAACACACGCAAAAGGTCAGCAGCATATTGTGGGCATCGCTAAATGCACAGGAAGTCACAATTAAACTAAACACATATCAAAGACATATCAAGGGCTTATTAAGGAGCTACTCAGTACTCAATTCAGGATTCTTATTTGGTCATTGTCTGTAGCATGGTAGAAGCATAGAGGCAACTCGCTGTCATTTATCCACAGCATGGATGTGGACTCTGCCATCTTGGCAGACCTGGCTGCAAACTGGGGGTCCGTTGAAGAGGAAGCATGCGTTGCCACTCAGACCTTGAGTCAGATGACAGATGAAGCCATCGCTTGTAGGGAGGATTCATCCGCCAGCAATCATCAAAGTAACTTGGCAGAAGAAAGAGATGCTTCTCCAGCACTATCTAGCCGCTGGGCAGAAAGGTTGCTTAGTCTGACCCGGGAGTACAATGTTCAAAGACCAGCTGCTCCAATCAATGTGGTCAGTGGATGCACCGGCATTAGCGCTGAGAGCTTTGTGTTCGAGGCCAGGGTTTTCACTAGTCACTAGTCACCAGTCTCACACAACCAAAAAGATATCAATGGAATCAAACCAGCATTGCCCGTCCTGTTTTTGCAAGACTGCTGCCAGTGTGATGGGCATACAGGCACATATTCACTACTAAATACACATATATTATATACTTACATACATACATACATACAGACATACAGACATTACATACATAGACACACCACACTTTTGTGGCTTTGGCTGAAATCCAAAGCAGTGAAAGCCACGTGACTTGTTAGGCTTTGAACCTCAACTACAACATCCTGTCTGCCAGTGATCCAGATCTGAAGTGCCACAAGTTCTTGCTCGCCAATCTTGCGCATGGCAAGCCAACGCATTGGTTTAAGAATCTGGAAGATCAAATGAAGAACCGACCCTGTTGTGACCATCGCTATGCACAGCAGTGCCAAGCATCCCCGGTTCAGCCAGACTTGGGAATATGTGGAACACCCTGCCATCCTTATTCAACTCAACGTGCTAACAGGTTTGCAGCAGGTTCTGTAGATGAGCACAAAGAGTTCAATGTAGCTATGGAACAGTTTCTCAAATGGTTTGAACGATTTGAACCAAAGGCGCTGGTGTTTGAACAAGTGATGGGTTTCCAAATGCCGTTCATTGCTGGTGGTTCAGAAACTCCTTTGTCTCGGATTCACGGATTAGCTCCAGCAAAGGTTTTGCAGTGTTTATTCGGAATTGTTCAGTTTCATACCATGCACCTCAAAATTCACCAGATCAATGTCTCAGGTTCAAGTCTCTCTTGCAGAGATGCGATTTCAACTGTGGTGGATACTACCTGGTCACGAAGCAGCTTGATATGAAGATTTGGTACCAGATTTCTCGACCCAGGCTCGTACTCGTAGGGCGGGACAAAGACTTCTCAGGGATCACTAGATTGTAGATTGGAGTAGAGTAGAGTGAAGAGAGTAGGTCAGTAGGTTCACTCAAAGTAAGACCAGCAGCAGCAGTAGTCAGTACTCAGCAGTAAGCCGTAAGCAGTGACATCAAGAAACATCCATCCAAACCAGTTGTTGAACCGAGGGGCCATCTCACGCATTCGACTACTCTTTGTTCGCAGCCATTACTCTGATGACTCATCATTGATTCACGAACAAGCGCTATGGTGGTTCTTTCAAATTGGAACACATCCGCACATTGCATGAAACTGTGTTCATGATTCATGATGGTTCACGACGATTCAACTTTCTCAATAAGTGTTGCGGAAACGGACACATGTTTTGGTTTCCCGAGAAAGCGTAAATGAAATTGTTCGTTCAAGTGCAATGATCGACGCATGGTTGAAGAACAAGTTCCACATGTTAACTTCGCTTCCACATGCTGTGGGATGAGTGCTTAGCGGCTTAGCGAGTAGCAGTGGCTTAGCGCGCGCACCATGGATAGTCACAGCCTGTGGGAAGAGTTTGAACGTGAGTGCTCCTGCAATTCTCCTGCCGATGATTTTGTGGATGAAGACCCCAAAGCTGATTCTTTTTTGGGAGAAAACACAACTTCAGACTTCATGGATAGCGTCCAGGATGACTACGCCGCAGACATGTCCAGTTCTAGTTTGATGGTGACCAAAAAACGAAAGGTTGGCCGGCCAAGGGGAACCTTTGGAAACCAACTTGCTCGACAAAAGAATCTCGCAAGCAAAGAAGCTTTGGAGGAGCAGCGGCTTGCAGCTGAGCCAACAGGCATCGAGTACGCAAGACAGTTTCGGCGAAAGACGACTTTGAAGACATTCTCTTCGAAGTCAGTACAACCTGCAACCAGTGACTCAACTATGCCTATGGAATTCTCCGAAACTGAAGCCAGCTCACCAATGTTGTTGTCATCTCGATCACCAATTTGGGAGAACATGGCTGAGTTGGGTTCGCCCTTGCAAGCTGCAATAGTTACAGCTGCACGGCATTCATTTCAGCATCAGGACAAATCTGACAGGGAAACGGGCAAAGTGTCCGACATGTTGGATTTGAAAGCCCAGGCTGTCGCTTGTCTCGTTTACCAAAAGACCTGTGGGTTTGGATGGTTTTATTTTTGTGTTTATTTGTTTCACTAATACTGTTGTAGTAAAATGATTAGTAATGATTAGTAACTGATTAGCAACTGCTTAGTAACTGTAGTTTCATAGTACAGTACAGACTTCCTACTACTTGCTTATTTTTGTTACTACTAGTAACTAGTAAACTAGTATTGTTTTTTGTGTAACTAGTAGCTAGTAGTTTGCAGTTCTGGCGAATGTGCATAGGAACCTCTTGTTACTTTAAACTTTAAACTTTAGCAGCTAGCACTGGTAACTAACTGTAGAATAGAATATCTTGAGTCTATTGTAACATAGTAGTAGCAGGACTTAGTAACAGTCACACACTAGTGTAGTGAGTGATAGCGGCAGGTTCGGTTTGGGTAGATTCACTGGTGATAAATCAATATTAAAACAAGAAAGCCAAGGCGTTGTCGAACAAGGCACTCAAGACGGTGTTGGAAAAGGACTCAAACAAGCGCATTTGGAGGGTGGATGAAGCTTGCTGTGAAGCTTCTGCAGTGGCGGTCTTGTCTGGTGGAATTTGTTGGGCTGGCCTCCTTCAGGCAGTGTACAACAGAATACAAAGGAATGAGATCAAAGGGGTTCTATTGCTTCAGAAATTTCGTTATGACGAGACACCACTACGTGTCAGACTATGTGGCGCCGACCCTAAGCAAGCAGCAACTGGGTTAGAGGGGGATGAAGTATGTGCCCAGGGGAAAGTTCTTCAAGTTGAGATGACATTGTACTTACTGTTCAAAGAAACAATTACTGGCAAACACTTTCTGATTTCGGGCGCAGCTCCATCGTTCTTGCAAGTGATGGAACGCACTACCGGTGAGTGCACCGTTCGAGCACTCGAGAATGTTCGGAACACTGTTCCAGAGGTTGACAAGGTGGCTGATGCATTTCAGCATAGACTCCGGGTTGCTGTTCCTTTGGCTGCATCTGTAGCTTTAGTTAACTTTAGTTACATGTATTACAGTGTAATAGTTGGTTAGCAGCAGTTTGTCAGTCAGCCAGTAGGTTATTTTGCTACTGTTAGTTCAGTTAGTGAGTTAGTTGGTGTTAGTTATTAACTTTGTTGGGGTTAGTTAGTTAGTTAGTTAGTTAGTTACTTAGTTGGGGGTTAGTTAGTTAGTTAGTTTTTCAGATACATTGGAACAACAAATTCCGTTCAAAGCCACACATGTGGGAAGGCTGAATTGAATATACTTCAAGTTGATGAAGGGGTGGCATGGTGGTAACTTCAGTACCTGGTAGAATCACTCATTCATTCGTGCGATGAAAAAATACATTGATACTATATTTTCTATATTTCATTATATAATATATATATATGTGTTTAATATAATATGTATGTTTATCTATGTTTTTATGAATGCACAAGACTGGCTTTAACAAGGCACGAGCGTTTCAATCTGAATCTAAATGGCCATGCACACCTAGGTTGTGGACCGGTTTGCGTCAAATGCCAAAGCAGAACGTTATCTTCACCACAAACGTCCATCTTGGGGCAGCTTCCTTCAGAAGTGCGAAGTGCACATTGCCGCGCAATCAAACGTGTGCACCATGAGCTATTTTGAAGCAGATATCAGTGGACTTTTGAGCTTGGCACTGGCCCAGCAGGGCTCTGGAGTGTTGAGAAAACTCAGAGATATGTTGGCTGCAGTTTTGGCCGAACAGGTGCAGATTCTGCATGAGGTACCACCTGGCGGGGAGGTTGAGTTGTATCGAGAGCAAGTGTATGACTTGTATTTGCCCCTTCCAGAAAAGGCTCGTCACATTACCAACGGTACATCAGCCATTGCCCAACGGAGATACATCTTATCTTGCATGCTGAATTCCGACATTCAAGATGCAAACAACATGGTCCATTGCTGCCCATATGGGTGCTGCAAGAACGAGGAGGAAACGCACCAGAAGATGGCACAATTTGTCACGGTGGCTCTCATACCAGCAAAAACCCCACGCTTTGCCCGGAGCCGCTGGGTCAATCAGGAGCCTGCAGTTACTTGGGCAGGGTTACTGGCGGCGCATCATGACTTACTTTCCAAAATCTTGATTCGCTGGATTGGTTCTCCAGCATCTTGCCCCCATCACACAGAGAGTGCGCCCACTGTTCCACACGATGACTGCAATGGCTATTTGCCTGCTCTGCCCAGCTCTGCACCTTCTTCAGGTCAGGTTGTGTTGGCCACAAATGAGAAGAATGATGACCATGACGGGGACTATGGTGCTGACGATGAAGAATCTTGCCTGCCTTTGGTAGCTGTTAGGTGCTCGTTTTAAATGATCATCCAACAAACACACAGATTTACAATGTACAACCAGACCAAAAACAAGGTCAACACGCTGCCTAATACTAAACGTTACTTTACTGTACTGCAATGCATTTGTAAGTCAGTCAGCCAGTTAGGCAAAGGAAGGAAGGAAAAGAAGGAATGCAAAAGGGAAGGCCATAAGTAAGGAAGTAAGAGTGACTCAGTAGCCCCTTGTCAGATTACGGTGCACAGTACATAGACATAGAAATAGATTTGTTTTATTCTGTTCAAAAAGACCAATAGATTCAATTTCAATAGATGTTTGTCATGGTTGCTACGGAAGTTAGTTTGGGGGCTGTGCAAGACCTGCAAATCGGAACTAAGTAACTAAATAACTAGCTAACTAACTAACACCTGGACCTAGTTTTCCACATTGCAAGGAGCATATCGATGATCCTACAGCATCTGACTGGGTCCGGAGAAACAAAGCATACAAGAGGAATGCTCGCCAGTGGTCACTTTCCTCACCAGCTCCACGTCTGTCAATTTTGAGGCAACTCATGACAGTGATGTCAGGCCTTCTTCACCATTGCCTTTATGTGGCTAGCGAGAAGTGGGTTGAAGACCAAAGAAAGCTGGCAATGGAAGGCAAGCCACGATCTTTTCGATTGCTGCAGGCAGCTCTTCAGGATGATTTGAACAAGTTTTTCATTGGCCTGATGCGCATCCTTGTCCGGCCAATCCAGGCTCTACCAGAATGGGCCAGAACAACAAAGCACAAACATTTGATGTTTCGTGCAATTTCAAAAAGTGCCTGTTCAATGCACCAGCTTCTCCGCGTTGCCCGAAATGGGCACCCCTATCTACTGTTCTTGGCCTTGGTGAACAAGCGATATGGCGCACAGCCATCATGCTTATGGGATGAGCTCACAGTGCAGTTTCGTTCATGGTTTCCCGAGATGACTGCTGATGCTTTGGCTACCTTGGAGACCATCGCGGAGGCAACAGATCTGGACATATCAGCGATTGAAGCAAGGCATGCATCAACACGGCGCATCGTTGTGTCAAGGGGGGTGCAAGCTTGGGCCCCAACTGTTCAAACCGTAAGTGCAGATTGGAGTTACAAGCAGGTTGTCAGAAGGGAGAACAGTGGTTCCAAACCATTTGTGGCTGAAGCTGAAACAGGTGGAATGGCTCAATCAACATCAAAGGAGCAGGATTCTGAGTGGCTGAAGAAACCAAAGAAAGGATCTTGTTCTGGAGGTGCATGGAAAGCGTTTGTTCATTGCAGGGGAAGTGGAAAAAGACTGTTTGGTCAAGACTTTGCTTCTCTTTCCAAGGAGTACCAGAGTCTGAGTGCTGAGGACAAGGCTTACTATGATCGCATGGGTGAGCAAGCTACTGTTGCAGGGCAGCAGGGTTTTCGCCCATTTGGGCCAAGAGGGCGCAAGTGTGTGAAACATCAGCCAGAGCCAGAGATTCCAGCATCCGAAGAGTTTCTGCGTGCCCCACACACTGGGATGGAACTTGTTACATCTTATTCTCGTGACTTTTCTCAGGATTTGAAGGAGATTCGTGCCAAGTTCCGGAAGCTAAACATGGCGTTCAAGCACCAAGAAGAGCAAACAAAGCTTGCTTTGGATGAATATGACCGTGCATGCGTCATGGGGGTTCCTCCTGTTTTTGCCAGCGTGCCGATGAAAGACATGTGTACACAGGCAGACTCTGGTTTTTCTGAGATATCCAGACATGCCCAATGGTTTCCTCCATGCACTCCAATGACTAAGGCTGGGTGACGAAAGGCAATTTGTTTCCTTTACTTGTAACATACGGAATTGTAGTCACTAGTCAGAAATCAAAAGCAATATTTAATAGTACTTTAACTTTCAATTTCAGTGACAACATTTGGTCCGGTCATTTTTTGCAACATATCATCACAACCAGCACCCCAAATTCAATTCAATCATATGACAACAATTCACTCACTATTTATTCATATTTGATTCTATGTTCTATGCTGCTATTCAACATTCATTAAGCTGGCAGGCTGCGCTGAGCATGTCAAATCAATCAGCAAGATCTTCTGGCCTTAGGAAGAGGCTCCAATCATTCTGGGATGAAAGCTGTGGTGATTTGATCAGGCAGGATGACCAAGAAAAAATCCACCTGAAAAAGAACAGCCATTTCTACCAGGAGACTGCCTGCTTTAAAGCTGGGCTCTGTCATTGTCGCAATTCTCCAATGGACAATCTGCTTGCTGTTTGGTTTGAAGCAAATCTTCAGCAAGTGATGCGAACCTGGTTTTGGTCCCGAGGGCAAAACTCTGAAAAGGAACGATCTGACCAACGAGTTTTGCTTGAAGAGGGCATGGTGGTCACGAGGCAGAAGAGCTTTTACACACTACTTTGCAAACATCCACATTGGTAATTACATTGCAGTACATAATTTCATTACATCATTCTAACTGAAACTGTTTGAGTGAGTAGCCTGACTGACTTACGACTTGCGGCCTATAGTTACTATGGTCCTACTATAGTTCCAAGTCACTACTTCGGCGAGGGCGGTTGGCTGTAGGATGGCGAAAAGTACAAGTAAGTATATAGTAGGTCCTATAGGTCATAGGTCAAGTAAGTAAGCAAGCCATGGTCTAGTGACTAGTGACTAGTGACTAGTGATTAGTGACTAGAAAGTGTTCCCTTTTCTTATCCAAGTAATTGTTTGATATGTCAGATATCAAGATCAAAACAATAATTCAATAATTCCTGTTTTCCTCGTGCAACTTACCATGATGGCACAGCTAGCAGTTAGCTAAGGTGGTCGGGTTGCGAATGGACTTCGATCAGGCAGCTGTCCCCGAATTGTTCTTCCACATTGGCTTTGTCAACTACAAGACATGGAAAATGTCAGTGCTGAAGCTCTTGCCTGAGAATTCAGCAACACCTGTCTGCGCTCATTGAAAGCAATCAAATACTTAGAAGATGACATGGATGAGTTGAACGAGCTGTTAGCAACCGAAATGCAACTTGAGGATACCTTTTTGCTTGAGGCAAGTCAAGCTGCTGTTCATACTTTGGTGCATTTTCTTGTGAAGAATATCTATTTTGGATATGTGTACGATGCAAGCTTTTGGGTTTTGGCGCAAGCGTCCAGCACACATTTGAGCAAGTACGACATGATTCCCAATAGGCTGGAAGTTGAGCCCATGAAAGATACCCCCTTATTCAACAAGATCTGGCGAGGAACTCAGGTTGAATCAGCAGCAAGGTTCAAAAAGGAAAAGAGTGCCACAACCAGGAAGCGTCAGGAGAAGCGGGACACAGGGCTGCAGGCGCAGCCACTGCAAACAGAACAGACAGAACTTTCCAACAGCTCGAACCGTTCCAGGCCATATAAGATGTCAGATTTTGCTCCTATTGGTGGATTTGTTCCAGAAGACCATGACCAAGATTTGGCTCCAATACCTGGACCTGATCAAAATGAGGACCAGGAAGAAGACGACGACTTTGAGGAACAAGACCTCCTCGAAGAGGAGCAGGACAATTCCGATTCTTGCAACTCGGGCATTGAAGATGGCTTGGGTTTGGAGGAATCCATCGCTACAGCAATGGCACTTTTTGAAAGTGAATCTGGAGATGCTGGAGGCATGGAAGGAGAAGGAGTGGATGAGGATGTTCCGGCTCTTCCTGGAGAAGATGCCGACTTGAGAGAAGTCATTGATCTTAAGACACCCCGTGCTTCAAGAGTATCGGAAGTGCGAATTGACTTTGAAGGTTCGCAACTTAGATATAACATATCTACAGAATTCATCCGAGCTCATTGTCCTATTCATGATTGCTCCAGGCAACGCTCAACTCGCCCTTCAGACTCAAAAACCAGGAAGGCTCAAGGACAAGGGCGCTGTTTGGGAGCACTGGTGCAATGGTTGAGAGAGGCAGCATCCTTTGATTCAAAAGACCTGCACATGAAAGCACCCATAGCCAGCTATAATTTGCGGAAGGCAGCCCGAGATGAGTTTATGAAAGTTCCAGGGGCCAAAGACTTTGCAACGTATGAGCGGCCTTGCAGAGAGGGAGAAGGAGAGGAACCAACGGAAATCCGATAGATTCCAATACTCAGTAGCAGCAAAAGCCAGCAGTTGAGAGGAGCAGTCAATTTGGTGGAAAATTGCAAGCATGGGATGGTGGTGGAATGGAAGAGGAAAGTTGAATCTGAATGTTTTGCTAACAATGCTGCATAATCCACCAACCAAGGACCATCATTAGTCATTAGTCACAGGAATCTTTTGGGTTTGTCCAAAGTGTAGCCGCTCTAGCCAAAGCAATGTCAATGTAAGTAAGTAAAACAGACTTATGCACTTACAGCAACTGGGGTTGTTCGGGCCTGGGTCCTAGGGTTTCAAGAGGTGTTTTTCACATGGTTGAAGCGTCGTCGAGAATCTTCATGTCGGTCGGGGGCATGACTACTCTGCATGGGTACAATGGATGAAATGGGTTCGAAGCTGTGCATATCATATCGAACCTTATCTGCACACGAATCCGATATCCGATATCCGTATCTGATATTTGATTCCAAGAACATCTGTTATGTGTCTTTGTATGTATGCGTCACTTGGTTCCTTCTCCAGGCTATTCTTGGTATTCCTTCGCAAAGATGCCTACAGCAAAGATGATGCCAAACGCTTCTCTGAGCTGTGCGAGGACGTGTTCATGCTGGCTTTCAAAGGGCACAAGTTTATTGGCAACATGTGGTTGGCCTAGTCACTAGTCTCTAGACTCTAGCCGCTGGCCGCCTAGCTAGGCTAGGCTTGGACTGATGGTACCAAAGACGCAGCCTGCATTATACTACGGGACAAACATAGCTTCTTCGCAGGGTGAGGCAGTTATTTGCAGCCATCTACTAGTTTCTAGGGCTACTAGGGGCCACTAGGGACCAAAAAAAGATTTGATGACTTAGACTTAGACTTAGCCACTTGGAAGTAGAAATGCATTCTTGCAGGAGATCATCTCTAAACAGCAGATGCAGGAGCCTTGGCCCATCAGCACAGTCCTCACACTGGGAGAGCAGGAACAATGGCAACAAGATACTCATCCAGATCCGGAAGAGGTGCAATTTTTGGAACATTGCTGTTTTGGTAACTGTAACTACTGAGACTTACACAGGCAGACTATAAACATAAACATTGTGTAGCTTGGCCGCCCTGGCTTTTGTACGTTGTTGTTGCAGCTAATAAGTCTAAGTCTAACTGTCCAACTAAACTAACTAAGTACCAATTACTCAGTACTGGTAGTAACTAGTAATAGCACACAGTACTCACTCTTAATATGTCTTAATCATAAGCATTGCCTGATTGCCGCTCTTCCGCTTACTATTTGTTTACTATTTTTTTTCCCGCTCACTATTCCGCTTGCTTTTTTTTTCCGCTTGCTTTTCCGCTTGCTTTTCCGCTTGCTTTTTCGCTTGCTTTTTTCTCGCTGATTCTCGCTTTTTTTGGAACAATGCCCACTTGACAGCGGCTGTTGCGGTCAGCGGCTAGCAGCGGCCAGCAATTAAGGTGTAGCAGCGTAGCAGCAGTTGGTGACACCAGCTGTTGGCAGTGCTGCTCCAGAGGGGGCCCCCAAAATAAATGCCTAAGAGAGGTCTAGTAAGGACATATTAAGGGTAGTTTTGGTGGTGTGGAGGTCGCCTGCCCGGATTTGCCAGCACTTTGGCCCAGAGGCTGTGAGAAAAGCTTGGGCCTACTTACTTGGCCGAAAGCCTACCCACTTTTTTTGTCGTTCAATTCTGTTCATATTCATAAAGTTTCTATGAGGGATCGGATAGAAAATCAACACATCGCCATATTTGACAATGTCTTTCCCATACACCTTCGAACTTTGCACCCGATGGCAGAGTCAGACCTCATGCCTCATGGTGTGAAGTGCGCCAGTGCTACAAGCACTGACAATGAAAGCATGGTGACGGAGATTTCTGATAGTCTTCCATCTTGGAATCAAAGCAGCCAAACAAGCCTGCTCTCCGAAGATCTGTCAGAGGCTGGGTACCATGCATTTGAAGATGTAATCCTTTGGGACTTTGGGTCTACAAGAGTCAAAATCGTCAAAACTCAAAAGTCGTCTACAAGTCTACTAAACTACACTACACTTTACTACACTCACTTCACTACACTTGGAACCACTAGAATCGCTGGGAGGACCTGTGGCAATCAGATGATAGCTTGGCCAAGAGCGCTCGAATTGTTCAAGTTGCTTGGCGCACCATCCTGACAAGAATTGGAAAGGAGAACTTGCAGGATTGAAGTGAGGGTTGTCACTATGTGTCAACCTCAAGTTTGCAAACAAATCCTTATTAGGGGCTTAGAAAGAACATATTAAGGCCTTAAACAGTGCTTGAATGGAGCCTCGACACCAAATTGTCCTGGTGTTGTGATTGCATTTCTAGATTCTAGATGAATTGGCAGCAAGCTTGCGCAGGATTCTTTGCTTTTGACAACGAGGCGAACCAGCAGCTCACGCACAGGGGCCTTTACAAGTGAAATGAGCTTTGCTGTCATCGAGAAAACCTTAAATGACAGCATGGCATTGGGAAGCAAGGTGTCCTTTAAGCCTGTCAGCGCACATGATCCAAACTCAGTTGGTTCAACAACACAAAGAACACAATTGTTTTCTGGAGCCCAGGTCTAGGAGTCTAGGAAAGGTGTCACAGTCACAACTGAGGAGATAAATGCAGGATGCCGCCAGTTGATAGTTGATCACTACGAATGGTCACGTTCTGTGACTGGAAGCGTTCATCCTCAGCCTTGTGTCTTTGGTGATTTGCTGCGGGTCCTTCCAGCTGACACTTTCTGCAATGAAGATCCATTTCACAGAAAGCTCTTCAAAGCCAACCGCGCAAAATTGATGACCTCACAGTGGTGCTTCACCTGCTGCAAAGAGTGTCCCTTGTTTGGGCCAAGGGCGATGACAGACATAGAAGTTGCAGGCCTGCCCTGCACAGATGCTTCAATGTGCGGATTGCGCAGGTTTGAGAATGGCCCAACTGCACAGGTCTTTCTTGCACATTGCAAGATTCACTTGGAGCGGCGAACTCCGATGATGATAATCGAAAATGTGCCGGAGACTAGCCGAATAATATAGCCTTCTTTGTGTGCTATTTGGATCACAAGGGGCCTATAGGGGCATATTATGGCCTTAGTAGGCCTATATTTCCTAGGTCCTATAGCAAATAACAGCACATTTTTAGGGTGTAGGGCCCTAGGCTCTAGGCACACGGTGTGTTTTCAGGGATTTCTGTAGTTTTGCTGACCTCAGGATGTGCACATGGGCATGCTCCGAAAGATATATGGCCAAACCTATGATCTCTACCCGATTTATGTGCAGCCTGCAGATTTGGGACACAATGGAACAGCCAGATCACGAGTCTATGTGTTGTTGGCAAACCGGGAGAAGGTGAGGAATACCTATGATTGCCAAGAACTTTACCAGCGTATCTCAACTCGTATGAAATCGGTGGCATCCACGAGCCCAAGGGACTATTTTGTCGCGACTAAGCTGGACATCAGGTTGGAAGCAGAACGAACAGCACTGGTCCGCAAGATTAAGCTCAAGCCCAAAGCCGCTCAACTAAATTTATCAAATGCAATAATCACTTAATATGCTGATAATAGGCACATAACAAGGAGCCCCAAGTACCACTTGGTGTTTGGTCAAGGCGATGAAGCTGCACTATTTGCTCAATGCACGGGAGAAAGAAGCCTTGAAAGTCTTCAAGCAGATGTACCAAAATAAATATCACCAACGGGCTGAGGACAACAAGGACTTGATTTTTTGGGGGGGGGGACAACCCCAAACACCAAGTATCTTGGTCAGCTGCGTCGAATCGCGTTCCAACTTTGAGAATGAACGCTGGCAAGTTATGGATAGCATCCAAGCACCGATGGCCCCTTGGCAGCACTTCAATTTGGAGGGTGTTTTTGGTTGACCGTTTTGATGTCTCGACATTGCAGCGTTGGAAGAATCAGGATGACGCCTCGGGAGAAGTTGGCAACACTAGGAATGCCTGTTTGCCCATCTCAATCATTGGCGATGGGCGTGCCGCAGTTGCCGATTTGCGACCCGCGTCGCGCATCCACGATTGCGGGCAACTGCATGCATTTCTCTTGCATCAGTGTGATCCAGATGATTGCACTCACATGCTTTGCATCTGTCCAGTAAGGCCCAGCTGGAAGGCTCATGCAACGTTTGCAATTTGTGCAGGAACTAGTTACTAGTTTGGGATCAGTGTTTAGTTTAGTGCAGTCAAACAGCTCCATCCCAGCTTTGGACGCTTGTGAATTAAAGATGAGAAAACGAGGTGAGCAGGTGAGCAGGGGCTTGCTAGAGCAGATTTTCAGAAGGATGGGAAACTCGGACAAACCCAAAAAAAGACAACCAAATAGGAGCCTAAACAGGCCCTAATAGGAACATGATAAGGTCCAAACAAGACTCCCTATTGATACTGGTCAACACATGGTGGATTCGAGCGGCATCACATAGTTTCTTGCTTCAAAGAACCCTCAAACTATCCGGCGCAAACCTGTAATTTTTCGGCTCTAACTAGTTCAGTACGGTGATAAATGGGGCCAAACGTGTATGTGAAAGCGTGGTACGTGATGGGGCGTGCACAAGCGGCAGAAGAGCAAAAACATGAGACCACCAGCTTTGTTCCAACCAGCCGATTGCTGGCTGCATCAGAGAGCGAGGAGGAAGATTTAATGTGGCTTTTCTTATTTGTTATGCACTCTTCAAGGCCTAATTAACTGCTAAATTGGAAGTTCCTACTTACTTATTTGACTTGCTCACAGTGCTATCTGCTGCTACTTATTTGGCTCAGTCTGGTCTGCTAAGGTACACGGATTGCACTGTTCCTATTTTGGAGCCAAGAATGACAAAGACGACCAAGATGCCAACCACGAGCCCCACCTCTGGCCTTGTGATATCCCCCGATTCAATGTGGAAAAAGTTCAAAACAATGGCGGACCTTCCAGTGCCTAGAAAGCAGCAGTTGTGTGGTTCTTTTTGTGGTGGCTCAAATGTCCAAATGATTTTTCTTTTGATTTTGACACCAAAGATGCCAGTCAAAGGACAATGACATCAAAGATTTGCTGATTAGCCTGGAGCATGAGTGTCTTCCAGACGATGCAGTTCTTTCAACACGGCGGCCGACTTTGTTTGCAATTCTTACCTTTATTTCCGGTTTGCAGCCTGCAGACAAACCTTTGGGGACCCTTTGACTCATCTGACGTTTGCAGATTGAAGTGTAGATGTAGAATTGTGGAATTGTCATCCTTCGGCTTGGGCTCAACTGAGGAAAAACCGCCAAGAAATGTTGAAGGAGCTATCTACCTGTATGGTACGGAGAGGGGACCCGCTTGGCAAAACAGGTTGGGGACCAAAGGAAGTGAGGAAGTTCATTTCCTTCCAGCTATACCGCCTTCGAGAGGGCAGATTGCCACTGAACCACTTGGGCGGATTCAGCTCAGTGTTGCCTGAACATGATTCACCAAGTTCCCCTGCCAAACTCCCAAAAGAAGTCTTGAAGTACATGAAAGAGCTTGCAAAAACAAGAAAGACACTCAGCTTCAAGCCGTCTTTGTTTTTGGGAGGAATTTGTGGGCGATGCAATGGAACATCAGATTGACCGAAAATAAACAAATAAACTATTACAAATATGATGAAAACCCGACCCAGCTCAGGACAAAAGGACAGCCATCAGCATCTGC